GCGCTGCGAGTTGTATGTTAATACGGAATATTGCGTCATACGCGATCAGGTTAAGAGTCAATCTAGTCCGATCGTGCCTCCTTTTCACCGGTTACCGACGTGCATCGTCGCGAGTGTTCAGTGGTTAGGTGATTCTATTTTGCCTCGCTGTATACAGGGAGATCAGTCAGTTACGACTGTGGTGTACCCCTGTGGTTGTTTAGATAACTGTTTATATCTTAACCGTGATGGCTTGTACTTTGTACACTTGTGCGTAAGCCTACCATTGCTGTTAACGATGTTTTCGCGCTAAGTCAGACTAGCCGTTGTTGTGCGATAGCCTGTGCGCCGTTTTCTTTTAACTGTTTCGCTTGCATAGTCAGTTTGGAACAGAATTTAAACTCTAAGTGTGTGCTTAGATATTTTGTACTTATTTACAATCAATGTTCTTGTTTTAGAATTATTGATTTACGGAATTTTGATAGCGTGATTTACACGTTCATCTCTTTTGTCAATCGAATTTACATTCGTTTAATTGATTCTTTTTAATTTTAAACATGTCGCTAAACTTAGTAGAGCTCGTTAAGTGTGCTAAGGAAGCAGGTCTTTCTGCCGCAGACATAAATGCTTTGGTTTTGAAGGAGGAAGTAAGATACAAAGAGCAAAACGAAAGAGAAGAAAAGCAAAGAGAACGAGAAGAGAGACAGAAAGAGCGAGATCTGAAACGCGAAGAGTTAGAGGTTCAGGAGAGGGAAAGACAGCGCGAATATGAAGCGAACGAGGCTGATAAGCAGCGCGCTCACGAGTTGGCCCTTGCTCGCGTACGACCCGAGAACCCTTCGCTAAATGACAGTCGCGATCATTACCCGAAATTAAGAATGCCTAACTTCACCGATGGTAATGACGATATAGATGATTTTTTACGGAGGTTTGAGAAATTAGCAGGTTTGCAAGGATGGGATTATAATGACTACCATGTTTACCTCGGTTCACTCTTGGGAGGTAAGGCCTTGCAAATTTACGTAAGTTTGCCAGACGATGTCTTGAAAGATTATAGACAATTAAAAGATGCATTGTTGAAGGCATATAACGTTGACGCAGACTCCTATCGTAAAAAGTTCAAAGAAAGTAAAGCGGGTGAAGACGAAACTTACGTTCAGTTAATTACGAGAATGACCCAGTATTTAGATCACTGGTTAATAATGAGTGATGTGGAGAGGGAGTATAACTCGTTCGACTTTTTGATACGCGACCAGCTGTTGAGTAACTGCCCTCTTGACCTTCGCATCTTTCTCAAAGAACGAACGTTCGTTAGCACAGTGGAAATGGCCCAAGCAGCGGATAGGTTTCGTTGCGCCCACAGAGCTGTCAAAAGTCTTAAAACGCCTGTTAAAGACGACGCTGCTTTCAAGAAAGACCCGAATGTTTCCCTTAGGGATGTGATCTGTCACCATTGTTCTAAGGCGGGTCACATACGTCCTTCTTGTCCCGAACTTAAATTCTCGAAATCTAAGACTTTTCAGACAGTAAATGCTGCATTTGAGGCTGACATAAATTACGATCAGGGTATTACGTGTGAAGGATCGTTGTATGGCAAGCCGGTAAATGTACTTTTTGATTCAGGTTGCTCGTCAATTATAGTGAAGGAATCGCTCGTGCCCGCCTCCGTCAAGCGAGGAAAGGTAGTTACACTATATGACTACCTGGGGGAGCGGCGCGAATTCCCCACCGCACGTTGTTTGATTAAGAGTAAATTCCTGAATGGATGGTTTAACGTCGTGGTCGCTCCGATAAAATTCACGGATATCCTCGTCGGTATAGTGCCGGGTGTCAAGGTGTCGAGCGTGAACATACCGAGTATAAAAGTAACCGAAACACCTCAGAGGAGCGAAGTTAATGCTGTCGCGACGCGGGCCGCCAAAGCGAAGGAAAATATCGGTCCTGATAAATTAATAGTTCCTAATTTTAAATTTGAGAACGTCTCGAAACAAGATTTCATAGATGCTCAGTCTTCCTGCCCTTCTCTAGAACACATTCGTTCTAAAGAAATAAGTAAAACCATTGTCACTGTAAAAAGTCGCTCGGTAAAGTTCGAACGCGTGAATGGGTTGATTTACCGAATTTGCGTAAAGAGTAAACACGAACACGAAGTCGGTGAGAAGCAATTGGTTGTGCCTCGTAGGTTTATTCCTATAATTTTATCTATGGCTCACGATTCCCCATTGGCGGGTCATTTTTCTCATCGAAAGACTGCAGAAAAAATCTTCCTCGAATTCTTTTGGCCAGGAGCAGACGCAGAGATCAAACGCTACTGTCGCTCTTGTCATGCTTGCCAGAAAACCGTTCCTAAGGGCAAGATCAGAAAGGCGCCTATGGTTCAGATGCCAATCATTAGCGAACCGTTTTCCCGAGTGGCGATTGATATCGTCGGGCCGATCTCCCCGCCCTCTAGCCGAGGCCACAAGTACATGCTGACCTTGATTGACATGGCCACCCGATTTCCTGAGGCAGTTCCACTGAGAAATATAGATTCGGTAACTGTTGCTGAAGCGTTGTTAACTATTTTCGCTCGCGTGGGAATACCGAAAGAGATTCTTTCTAATCGTGGTACTCAGTTTAATTCCGATTTGATAGCAGAGATCAACCGACTGCTTTCTATTAAAGCATTATACACTAGTCCGTATCACGTTTGTTGTAATGACACCGTCGAACGGTTTCACGCAGTACTAAAAGCTATGCTGAAAAAGCTCTGCAACGAGCGACCTCATGACTGGGATCGTTATATCCCATCTGTCTTGTTTGCGTATCGGGAGATTCCCCACGATACGCTTAAATTTAGTCCATTCGAGTTACTGTACGGCCGTAAAGTACGTGGCCCTTTATCCATTTTACATAATTTGCGGACTAAAGATGATATTGATGAAGTTAAAAGTACCTATCAATATGTATTAGATCTACGATCTAGATTAAAACAATCGGCTCAATTAGCATCCGCTCACGCAGACGTGAGCAGCAAAATGTGTAAGACCTAAGTATATTAAAAACATGAAAAACAGCAACGGGCGGCTTATGCGCTGGTCCCTTGCCCTTCAGTCACATTCAGTCACAATAGAATATGTAAAAGGGCAAGAAAATGTTGGTGCTGACATACTCAGCCGATGTTCTGTATAAAGTTTTTTCTTTCTTACGTAACTAGCTTACGTCAAGTATTTAGTCTTGAGTTAATTTGAGTGAAACCCCACTTTTAACTAAAATCTTGTGATTTTAAGTTGAATTGGGGGGCTTTGTAAAGGGTTTCTGTTTAGTGATGGTTTCACTATCTCGTGTTGAACCTAATTGTACTTGTGTTGTGCGTATGTGTGTGCGTATACGGTGTGTGTGTGAGGTGTAAGTGTGCCTTTGGTTCGCCTCCACCGTTCGGATGACAGTTTCGAACCAACCAAAGCCTCATGTCAACCCTCGTCGGTGGTTGCCATTCTATGGTTTGCCACTCTACTCCGAGCTCCACACCTGAACACTTTGTAAGTGTTTCTATTTAATTTTGTATATCTTGTGTACATATATATTTAACAAGTGGTGAGTGGTGATGACTAAAAAAGTGAAGTGTTGTGAAGTGATCTGAAAATTAAATGGACTATTATAACGCAACCATTTATTGCAGCCTCTATAATTTGGGCCGAGCAGCCGATAGCTGCAGCCATCTCTACCAGTGGCTCCTGTACAATTCTACCTCAGGTGCATGACTGTCTTGGCTGGGATACTACTTCAACCCAACTCTTCACTGACGGATTCCTAAGATCTGCTGTATACATTTCTGTGTTTTATGTACATTTGGTGTAATATATGATTATGAAAATACTGCATTGTATTTCATAAACCCGAGATGATCTATACCCCAGAGGATACCAAATAAAAAGAACCAAAGGTTTATTGCAAACAATATCAAAGCAAAGAAACCACGGACAATCTGGCGCAGTGAGTAGGATCCTCTTATAGATTACTCGGGGCTCGTATATTTGTATGTACTTCATTTTTTTCTTTCTCTTATGATCACAGAATGTAATGTGGAACCCGGAGGAGTGGCCAACCATAGAATGGTGATTCGGAGAACCAAATGGAGGAATGGTGTTCTGGATATTTTTTGGTGAAGGAGTGTGACGACTTGCGCTGCGAGTTGTATGTTAATACGGAATATTGCGTCATACGCGATCAGGTTAAGAGTCAATCTAGTCCGATCGTGCCTCCTTTTCACCGGTTACCGACGTGCATCGTCGCGAGTGTTCAGTGGTTAGGTGATTCTATTTTGCCTCGCTGTATACAGGGAGATCAGTCAGTTACGACTGTGGTGTACCCCTGTGGTTGTTTAGATAACTGTTTATATCTTAACCGTGATGGCTTGTACTTTGTACACTTGTGCGTAAGCCTACCATTGCTGTTAACGATGTTTTCGCGCTAAGTCAGACTAGCCGTTGTTGTGCGATAGCCTGTGCGCCGTTTTCTTTTAACTGTTTCGCTTGCATAGTCAGTTTGGAACAGAATTTAAACTCTAAGTGTGTGCTTAGATATTTTGTACTTATTTACAATCAATGTTCTTGTTTTAGAATTATTGATTTACGGAATTTTGATAGCGTGATTTACACGTTCATCTCTTTTGTCAATCGAATTTACATTCGTTTAATTGATTCTTTTTAATTTTAAACATGTCGCTAAACTTAGTAGAGCTCGTTAAGTGTGCTAAGGAAGCAGGTCTTTCTGCCGCAGACATAAATGCTTTGGTTTTGAAGGAGGAAGTAAGATACAAAGAGCAAAACGAAAGAGAAGAAAAGCAAAGAGAACGAGAAGAGAGACAGAAAGAGCGAGATCTGAAACGCGAAGAGTTAGAGGTTCAGGAGAGGGAAAGACAGCGCGAATATGAAGCGAACGAGGCTGATAAGCAGCGCGCTCACGAGTTGGCCCTTGCTCGCGTACGACCCGAGAACCCTTCGCTAAATGACAGTCGCGATCATTACCCGAAATTAAGAATGCCTAACTTCACCGATGGTAATGACGATATAGATGATTTTTTACGGAGGTTTGAGAAATTAGCAGGTTTGCAAGGATGGGATTATAATGACTACCATGTTTACCTCGGTTCACTCTTGGGAGGTAAGGCCTTGCAAATTTACGTAAGTTTGCCAGACGATGTCTTGAAAGATTATAGACAATTAAAAGATGCATTGTTGAAGGCATATAACGTTGACGCAGACTCCTATCGTAAAAAGTTCAAAGAAAGTAAAGCGGGTGAAGACGAAACTTACGTTCAGTTAATTACGAGAATGACCCAGTATTTAGATCACTGGTTAATAATGAGTGATGTGGAGAGGGAGTATAACTCGTTCGACTTTTTGATACGCGACCAGCTGTTGAGTAACTGCCCTCTTGACCTTCGCATCTTTCTCAAAGAACGAACGTTCGTTAGCACAGTGGAAATGGCCCAAGCAGCGGATAGGTTTCGTTGCGCCCACAGAGCTGTCAAAAGTCTTAAAACGCCTGTTAAAGACGACGCTGCTTTCAAGAAAGACCCGAATGTTTCCCTTAAGGATGTGATCTGTCACCATTGTTCTAAGGCGGGTCACATACGTCCTTCTTGTCCCGAACTTAAATTCTCGAAATCTAAGACTTTTCAGACAGTAAATGCTGCATTTGAGGCTGACATAAATTACGATCAGGGTATTACGTGTGAAGGATCGTTGTATGGCAAGCCGGTAAATGTACTTTTTGATTCAGGTTGCTCGTCAATTATAGTGAAGGAATCGCTCGTGCCCGCCTCCGTCAAGCGAGGAAAGGTAGTTACACTATATGACTACCTGGGGGAGCGGCGCGAATTCCCCACCGCACGTTGTTTGATTAAGAGTAAATTCCTGAATGGATGGTTTAACGTCGTGGTCGCTCCGATAAAATTCACGGATATCCTCGTCGGTATAGTGCCGGGTGTCAAGGTGTCGAGCGTGAACATACCGAGTATAAAAGTAACCGAAACACCTCAGAGGAGCGAAGTTAATGCTGTCGCGACGCGGGCCGCCAAAGCGAAGGAAAATATCGGTCCTGATAAATTAATAGTTCCTAATTTTAAATTTGAGAACGTCTCGAAACAAGATTTCATAGATGCTCAGTCTTCCTGCCCTTCTCTAGAACACATTCGTTCTAAAGAAATAAGTAAAACCATTGTCACTGTAAAAAGTCGCTCGGTAAAGTTCGAACGCGTGAATGGGTTGATTTACCGAATTTGCGTAAAGAGTAAACACGAACACGAAGTCGGTGAGAAGCAATTGGTTGTGCCTCGTAGGTTTATTCCTATAATTTTATCTATGGCTCACGATTCCCCATTGGCGGGTCATTTTTCTCATCGAAAGACTGCAGAAAAAATCTTCCTCGAATTCTTTTGGCCAGGAGCAGACGCAGAGATCAAACGCTACTGTCGCTCTTGTCATGCTTGCCAGAAAACCGTTCCTAAGGGCAAGATCAGAAAGGCGCCTATGGTTCAGATGCCAATCATTAGCGAACCGTTTTCCCGAGTGGCGATTGATATCGTCGGGCCGATCTCCCCGCCCTCTAGCCGAGGCCACAAGTACATGCTGACCTTGATTGACATGGCCACCCGATTTCCTGAGGCAGTTCCACTGAGAAATATAGATTCGGTAACTGTTGCTGAAGCGTTGTTAACTATTTTCGCTCGCGTGGGAATACCGAAAGAGATTCTTTCTAATCGTGGTACTCAGTTTAATTCCGATTTGATAGCAGAGATCAACCGACTGCTTTCTATTAAAGCATTATACACTAGTCCGTATCACGTTTGTTGTAATGACACCGTCGAACGGTTTCACGCAGTACTAAAAGCTATGCTGAAAAAGCTCTGCAACGAGCGACCTCATGACTGGGATCGTTATATCCCATCTGTCTTGTTTGCGTATCGGGAGATTCCCCACGATACGCTTAAATTTAGTCCATTCGAGTTACTGTACGGCCGTAAAGTACGTGGCCCTTTATCCATTTTACATAATTTGCGGACTAAAGATGATATTGATGAAGTTAAAAGTACCTATCAATATGTATTAGATCTACGATCTAGATTAAAACAATCGGCTCAATTAGCATCCGCTCACGCAGACGTGAGCAGCAAAATGTGTAAGACCTAAGTATATTAAAAACATGAAAAACAGCAACGGGCGGCTTATGCGCTGGTCCCTTGCCCTTCAGTCACATTCAGTCACAATAGAATATGTAAAAGGGCAAGAAAATGTTGGTGCTGACATACTCAGCCGATGTTCTGTATAAAGTTTTTTCTTTCTTACGTAACTAGCTTACGTCAAGTATTTAGTCTTGAGTTAATTTGAGTGAAACCCCACTTTTAACTAAAATCTTGTGATTTTAAGTTGAATTGGGGGGCTTTGTAAAGGGTTTCTGTTTAGTGATGGTTTCACTATCTCGTGTTGAACCTAATTGTACTTGTGTTGTGCGTATGTGTGTGCGTATACGGTGTGT